ATTATCCCTAAATAAAATGGAAAATCATCCACCGTTAAGTTGGAAATTATGGTGGTACCTTTAGTTAGGTAGAGTAGTGTTTGAATTAAGTTTAAAAACTAAACTCACCTTATAACGCTTGTCGTTCCTCCGCAGCCACCTCCGTCGAATACTCCAGACTCTTCCAGTCGGTTTGCAGGATTGTCCAGCGTCGGCTCGGGCGGGTGGAGCTGCAGGGGCGTCGAATCCGGGCTGGGCGGACTCATAGCGGTGTCGGCCATTTTGGGGGAAGACCGGCTCAGAAGATCAGCTGATGACGTACTAGTGTCGGCGACAGATTCGCCTAGAAGCGGACAGATACATTGCCTAGAATCAAAGTTTGCTGATGGCTGCCTACTCTAGGTTTATTTAGGGGTTGATTTGCTCTTTTTCTGGATTCTTTGAAGTGGTAGTGAAATTAAAAAATACACAAAAACACATTTTATACTAGTTGGTTTCCAAATGAATTTATTAATTTCAAGCTGAATTTGACCAAAGGCATAGGTTATGTTGACTTTGAGGGTCGTCGTGGTTTGTGGGTTATTCGCATACACTTACGACTTAAGACAAACTCACAAGAAAAAGTCTAACAGGCTCAAATCGCACGATCTTGGTGGCCAGTTAACATACCCTCCACGTGAGATAACAATGCCCTCAACTCGCTCGTGGAGGATATCCAATCTAGCATGATCTGTGTGGCACGTAGAGCCCAATAAAGTTGGTAATCATCGACCTACACTGCTCGCTGTTGACAGCGATGGCCTGGCCAACGGTATTTTCAAAGACGACCGATCGACCGATGGTCGATCGTTTACTGAACTATTGGACTCAAATTCCTCCACCACATTGCGAATAGTTCTCTCGGTAGGACGATTATGGCGACCGTAAAAGGGCCGAAGCGCGCGGTACGTTTTCCTAACAGAATACCTTTTTTGTCAAAACAATTTTATTATTTGCACGTCTTGTTGAATGCTATATCCGTCCATGGTAGATTGGCAAATCAGACTGAATAAATGACAATTAATTTGATAGATGTAGCTTCAACAAGATAGCCGTTATCAATTGTCAAAGTTCGTAAGTCCCTGTTGGAAGACTTTATATATTAGTATTGAAACTATTANATTGAATTTATTGGAGCCTCTGGAGACACCCTACATTTTGTTTTATGAGAGAGAGGACATTGTTAGATCAAGATCTTCAGATGATGTGGTGCTGCAGGTTTTTCCGGGTTTTCCTGCAGCTGAAAAAGCAAATGCGCCACTGGAATCAATGAAGTCGCCCCGGAGCGCCAATTAATTTTTATTGTTGTATTTATTTTATTTTTATCGTTGTTTTATATAGATATATTTATATCGTGTAATGAGAAATAAAACTTCCTATGTTTTTATACTACTTTTATTTGCTTAAGTTCTCATTTTTCATTACAAAATTTATAATAGTGACTGTTCTTATATGAAAAATTCTCAATTAGAAGAAAAAATGATATTAAACTACTGTGTTATACTATATTAAACGTGTTCATCCAGATGAATCAAAATATGAGAAATTCGTAGCAAGACAGGTTGAGATAATCTTACATTTGACAGAAATCCAGAAGAACTCTATTGAATACATGTCATCAATAGCTGAGGGACTTAACAGAAGAATTAACGGATACACTGCGATTGCGGTAGGAAGAGGTAGTTTTCAAGAAAAAACATTCAGTGACGCTGAATCATTTTTCTAGTTGATTGCAAATGGTGCTTGTGTTATAGCTTCACCAAGAAACTTTTGCTAACTTGCAGATAACGCCACAAATTTGAGAAAACAGTGGTCCAAACGTTCAGATGCAGTTTTCAGTTCTCAAAAGAAGCGAAAACTCAATGTGATCACTGCCAAAAAGGAGATCACACTGTTGAAACTGATTCGACGTGGAAAGCCTTTACACCAACGTTCCGGTCGAAGAAGCACCCGACATGATACGGAGGAAGCTATCCGAAGACGGGGACCTGAAAGCTAGAACGAATTTACCTATAGAAATAATTATGGAATTACTAGGATACAGTGCACGAAACTGTTATTTCCAAATGGAGGAAGAATTCTTCACACAAGATGAGGGACTGCCAAAGAGATCGCCACTTTCACCAGTCACAGCCAATATGGAGTGGTTTGAAACTCTGGCCATTGAAGAAGCCCACAAGAAGCTTGGTGTCTGGTTGAGATACGCTGACGACACCTTCATAATATAGAACCATGGGAATACTGAACTAGACTCCTTCCTGAAACACATCAATAGCGTAAGAATCAAGACTCTATTAGACCGTGCTTTTGGGCTCTGTAATACGAAGGAAGGGCTTGAGAAGGAACTAGAAATCATCAAAAATGATCTTTAACGGAATGGCTACTCCAAAGTGAAGGGGGAACAGACTTTAGCTAAAAGACAGCAGGAGCCTCGCGAAGAAGATAAGCTGTCACAACCAGTGCTTGCCCTACATCAGTAGATTATCGGAAAGAAAAAGAAGAATTGGATCCAAGTACGATATCAGAACCTGCTTCATATCCGGATACACTATCCGTAGCAGCCTCACGAAAACCAGGCCACCTAACGCGGACTGTGATTCCAAGAATTGCATTTACCGGAAACCCTGTGAGTGCGGAAAATCCTATATTGGTGAAACTAAGAGGCCATTGAATGTTCGCATTGCCGAGCACAAAAACTCACATAGGATTTGAATCGCTGGAGATTAAATCCATTTGGAAAAACGTTCTCAGGAAGTTATTTCCTCATAAACCCAGTTCTTCAGATGAAAGAGTTCTTGAAAAGTGAAGTTCTAGGTGCACTGAGTTGAATTTCAAAACGATGAGCAGCCACAATCCGTCGCGTATTTCTGATATGTACCGCTCTTGGTGGAATCAAATGTGTCAGGTCACTTGAACACTTCCCGTGTTCAAGTGACCTCTTCTATAGAAGAGATTAAAACTCTCTAACCTTTCTTCGATGTTCCAGACTATTGAGGTTGCAAGTGATGTCCTTGTCTCCAGTCAGGCGGAAGGCTCTTCAACTTTAGGGTATGTTTTTTTGGCAGAGCTCCAAATATGAGAACAATACTCCAAAGAAGGTGTGATCTGAGCTTCATAAAGCATCAAAAGTTGCTGAGGTGTGTACAGTTTTCTGGTTCTGAAAAATGTTCAAAACTTTTGAGAAGCAGCCTTTGCAGTTCCATCGACATGATTGTGCCCAGAAAACAAAGTTATTGAAGCAGAAAGCGGAATTGTCTGACCTGACATTATATCCCGTTCAGAGACATTTATCTTCTTGGAGAAAACCGATGTCAGGGTTTTTGTGGCATTGAATTGAACCTGCTCACTTTCACCCCAATTCGAGTCAGTTTTCGTAGAGTTCACTTCTTTTTAGAAGGCATTTAAAGTTCAGAATGGTTCAGTGTTCTGTTTCAGTGTGTTTCATTACTGGTGCAAACAAAAAATGAAAAGTTACATAATAGTGTGGACCGTATTCGCCAATTTGTCTAAAGTTGGCAAGTTGGTTATTATTTATATAACGAAATTTGTAGTAAAAAGTCTCTTAAAATTTTTACATTGTCGTCAGTGCATTGATAGCTTGTTTTCTGATAAAACCAACCCTAATTATGCTTTAATATGGGTTGAGGAAAACGGTAATTTAATTTATCCCTCTGAAAGGTTGTTAAAATTTGCGAATTATGTAAAAAAATAATCAGATATCCCTTGAAATTATTATAAACTAAAAAAAATTGTGTCAGACTCAATTTTGCAGGTGTTGGTATTTTTTCTACTTTGCCGGTTCATCAGTTAGATAACTTTCTGGGGACAAACCACATATTAGAATTAACAAGAACTATTTCTGAAAAATATACAGGGCGCATCAACGATAGGTGGGTGGACGATAGCTGCCTTCCTATTTGAGATTCAAAAAATGTTTCGAAAAAAAGTTGTAGAGATTGATGAAAGCTATACTTGAATAATTATTAATCATATACAGGGTGTCCAATAAATGTTTGTGGAAATAAAATTCTCCAGATAGTTTCACTCGATTGAATTTCTTGGACGGAGTGCTTCTCAAAAATATAGGGTTGTTTGGATTTATACCGGGTGGTTCAAACGTTATAGAGAAATTTATGTCAAAAATGGGTTCATTCAACACCAAATATATCCTACTCGATCAAATGGAAAGAGAAAATTTTTCAACCAAATATCCTTGAGGATAGTATACTTTTATTTCGTCTCAATAAATTTACCGACCGGCTTTTTTTCTATACAGGAATAACCAAAATTCGTGATAACTTTTTTCTCAGTTTTTTCTAAATAGCACACCTTGTACATATAGTCATCTCAGATAAGTCTATACTATGAACTTTCAGAAAATGTAGGTATTGACCACTTCATTTCCATCGGAAGTGTATCTAATTCTTGAGGAAAGAGTCATTATCCATCTGAAATTTCTCCTCGAACTTCGATTATTGTTTATCTTGTAAGAGAGCAAAAAAATCTTTGAATCAACCTACTTCCCTTCTAATTTCGTTGGTTTCTCGCATTAAGCCAATGCTCAACCATAATAGAAACCAACGTTTTGTTTACTCTTTGTGCTTTACACTCTCTCTGCTTCCTGAAACATCTGTTTCGAAAACTCTGGAATCATCCATTCATTGTATTAGGATATCGTACTGCATTTTATTTTACTGGATGAGAGCAGCTTATGTAACATCCATAGGGAATCAGGTCATAGGACCATATTTCTTTGATGATATATCTGATATATATGAAAATATCTTTCTATTAATAGTGACTATTGAAACATAGTTTGTACTAATCCGTACAACTATTTTCCGAAACTTATTTTTAAATCTATGCAGCTATCGTTTGTAAATATGCAGCTTTCGTTGATGCACCCTTTATAGATATTAGATTCCATTTTATAGCGAAGCAAAATGATTTCAATGAAACAAAAATACAGCTTTACAATAGATCAATTCTTTTTAAGGGACAATACATTTTTACATTTGTTCAAGTAAATATTTAACATATGGAATGTAAAACCTATTTCTACCATTTACTTTAGATATGTATCGATAAAAATTAAATGAGGGTGTTATTGTTTTGATATGTTTTTCGTTTCATTCAACTCTTCACAGCGAGCGCCAAACGTGATGGCGAGCCCGCCTCCATGCACACAAACTCATTTTCAATGTAACCCCCACTACAGCCCTTGTTATACATACAAATGCTCTGTGCAGAGGCGTATCATTACTTGTTCTCCAATGCTGTTGGCGTTTGACATTTTCTGAATAATTAGTGTTGCATCTGAAAAACTGTTATCGCCTAACAATAAACCAGTTATCAAGAGTCAGGCACGTGAAATATTTTTCAAAGTGTTCAATTATTTTCAAAGTGTTCAATGTGAGTCGGATACCTCATCAAATATAAAAAATAAAACATCTCTCGCTACAGGTAACATTGAATAAATTTAACAATATTCCAACATACATCGTTATTTTGTATTAGGTATTTCAATAAGAACCATTGGAAGAGTGGTTAAAGACAGGGAGCAATTAATTTTTGCAAATAACAGAGAAGTAAAATTTTCCACCTCAAGAAAAAAGCGGCCTAGAAGAGCACCAGTAAGTGATATTCCCGAGTATGGATATTCCGATATTAGACGGATTATTCAACACAAAATTAATGACGTTTTGGGAATTGTGGCTTCCGAAACATTTTTTTGTAGAATTTTAAAGAAAACAGGTTTCAAATGGAGAAGAACTGGAAATAATAGATATATTTCAATATAGAAAATGAACATTAGAGAATTGAGGATCAAGTATTTACAAAAATCAATTATTTTCGTAGCTAACAGCGATCAACTGTGTTTCTTGATGAAACATACCTTCATAGTGGACATACATCTTCCAAGAACTGGACGGATGAATCATATAAAGGGTTATTTAAAAACACTGCAAAGGGACCAAGACTCATTATTGTCCATGCAGGAGGTGACATGGGTTTTATACCTAATCGTCGGCTTGTATTTAAATAAGGCACATCAGGGGATTATCATTCAGAAATGAATTCTGAAAATTATGTTAATCCCAAATTCACCAGTGAATTCGGCAGTCGTGAGCGATAATGCTCCATAACATAACATTCAAATTAATCCAGCATCCTACACAAATTCTAGGAAGGCTGACATGGTGAAGTGGCTGCACCCCTAACATGAGGGTTATTTAAAAACACTGCAAAGGGACCAAGACTCATTATTGTCCATGCAGGAGGTGACATCATTCAGAAATGAATTCTGAAAATTATGTTAATCCCAAATTCACCAGTGAATTCGGCAGTCGTGAGCGATAATGCTCCATAACATAACATTCAAATTAATCCAGCATCCTACACAAATTCTAGGAAGGCTGACATGGTGAAGTGGCTGCACCCCTAACATGGAGCTCAAACCCAAATTATATGAGTTAATCGAGATAAATAAAAATTATCATATAAGATAAAAATTTGATGAGGTTCTGATGAACACGGATATAACGTTTTGCGACTTTTACCCTACCATCCGGATTTGAATCCCATTGAACTCATTTGGGCTACTGTCAAAAACAATGTGTTCCAAAAGAATGTAACTTCCAAGATGGAAGATGTGAGGAAACTGGCGGAGCACGAGTTTGATCAAATCACTTCCGAGGAATGACAAAAGTGTTGCCAACATGTAGTAGATATAGAGCGGAAATATTAGAAAAATGAAACAAGGCGAGTACTATTTATGATTTTATATTTATATTCGAACTAAATTTGAGTACGGATCTGCCTATGGCACCGATGCCCCTTAACGCACTTATGCTTTACTTTTACGTGCCTATAGTCTTAGTTATGTATTTTCCCTGTCCATATCTGTTCGCGGATTTTTCAAGAATATGAAGCGTTTGGGGAAATACGGTTTCATTCTAATCTCTACGTGAATACTACATGTTATCTATAAGCACATTTTTTCATGTCTCCGACTTTGTGAAAACACGCAAAAACCTGGTTCCTTGAATTTCACTCGGGGAAAATTTAATCAGGCTTTTTTGGAAACCAAATTGCATTAGGTGTGCTATGTTCCGGAATAGAATTGGGTATATTCCGATTATTAAGACATTTACGAAAACATCCTATTGAATACAATGAATACTGCTAAACCCGGACACGAACAAATGTCGTTAACACGATAAACATCAAACTTACCATCACTGCTGCAGCGTGAATCCACTTTTCTCCTTTTCAGTTTCAAATCTTGGAAAAGGCTCATTTTGTCGAGCTCACACGGGGTCCGCGTAAGGGTCATAATTCCTGAAAGAAAAAAAAGGTAGTGCTTACTTGTACTTGATAATACTAGATTGTAATGATGGAAACGCAGGAGTGGAAATCGTTTTGTTTAATAAATTACTTCACTGCTATAAAAATGTCTGTTATGGGTCGATTATATTCATAAAATTCAACTCATTTGAAATCTTCCCACCCTAACTTTCTGCGATGGGAATTGAAAATTGAGTATTTAACATAACTTTACTACCATTTACGTTTTACTATTAAACTACCTTTTGATGTGAATTATTTGGAGCTAATGGCTAATGTTACCCCTAATAAAGGGCTGGAACGGTACCACCTAATATTCCAACCAGTTCTGGTCAAACCATGCATTTCAGGATAGGCGTACTAATAATTACTCCTGTTAGTTCAGAACGCTATTTTTCGGAAAAAGGTCATCAAAAAATAATAAGTCAGGGTACCATTGGAAGCAGAATTGAACACCAATAAAAATGATATGTCACTTGACCCCCATTCCCATTTAAAATTCCAAGGGGTTTGAACAACGAGGGCTACAAATAGTCCTTAAAAGTGTCCCCCATGACAATAAAATTGATCTGCTTTTTTCNTTGCATCGCAAAGGTTTTTTAATAATAGCTATATTCGAAATTTAATGGTGGTAGCAATTACTATTTCTATCAAGAAAAAACCAAACATAGTAGTTATGTGATTCGCATTTTCAAAATGTCGAATACCTGGCTCAAATTTTTTTTGAGGGTTGTCATTCATAAGGGGACCACAATAGGTAAGCAGAAATAATGTCTCTTCCATGATACTGATGCATTGTTTTTTTTCAGAAAATTCAATTTTTGCAGTTATTAGTGGAAAAAGGAAAACATGTCAGTTCCTCAAGAAATGCATATGGAATTTTCACAATAACCATGTTTGGGCTGAAGAAAATCCACACGAGGTGCTTGAAGATCGCTTTGAACATCAGTTCTCGTTAAATGTTTGGGTGGGAATTGTAGGGGACTTCCTAATTGGACCGGTATTTCTGCCCACGAGGTATACCGCAACTTTTTGAAACAAACGCTACCTTAGTTTCTGGAGGATGTTCCATTGGTTACAAGAAATGCAATGTGGTTTATGCACAATAGTGCATCAGCGCATTTTAGATATTGGCTAAAAATTTTTCAACAGTAACATACGGAGATCGCTGGATTGGTCGAGGTGGACCTCACTTATGGCCTGCTCGATCACCGGATTTTAACCCCCTGGATTATTTCCTATGGGGCCACCTGAAATAATTAGTTTATACTACTCCAGTGGAAGATGTGGAAGACTTGAGAAATCGGATAACTGCTGAGTGTAATGCAATCAGAAACGATACTGGTGTTTTTGAAAGATTTCAGGAGTTGATGAGGACAAGAGTGGATTCTTGCTTCCGAGCGAGGGGTAGTCATTTTCAACAATTCTTGTAGATTAAGAAACATTACATGTAATTTTTGGGAAAAAAGTATTATTATCGATGTAGAAGTGAGGTAATATGCTTCAGGTAATCATTATAACTGAAGAAGTACCTCAGGTATAGTTCAAGTAAACGATATAGTGCACCCTACCTTCCAGCAGTTCACCTTCAATAAAATAGTTAGGGAGCCAACTAATTTTGTAATGCAATAATCATTTCTCATTATATAAGAATCACAATAACTATATTTTAATAAATATTTCGTTTATATAGATGAGTGGGAAAGTAGGGATCAAATAACAGAGTGATGATTGAAAATACTTCTGAATACTACTTAGTCGCATTTGAATAGAGATTGATGAAAGCTATACTT